AGAGAAGAGGACGCACCGTCTTGATTCTTCCGTGTCTCTGGTACGGAAGATATTTCCCATAACCATCTATCCTTGAGCTCATTTGTCTTCCTGAGTGCGCGACGCTCCTCAATCATTTCGCTTCTTGAGCGATATCCCGGGGAGAACGACCCAACAAACGGCATGTCCGACCACGTACGAGTGTCGATGCAAGTTGGCCTGATACCGATGATGAGGACACTGCCGTTATACCAGCAAGGCAGAGCGCAAGACGTCCTCCTCAGATTGGCTTCGACTTGAAGCGTTGTAGGATAGCAAGGTCAAAGCGCAGGTCAAGGACTTCCGGCCCGAAAACTAAGTGATCGAGGTTGCTTAACTTGTAAATTAACAGGACGGAAAAGAAAATCTAGAGATTACATGGACGCAGCTCAGGAAGATAAACTCCACTCAGAAATTACTGGATCGTCGTCCTGTCGTTAGTCGATTTTCTTGCAGCTGCGTGACTCTGTCTATGCCGCGTCAACGACGATCGATGGCCAAACGTCTTATCGCATTGTTTGCACGCAAAACGTCGCGCTACAGTTTGTCAGAATCACCAAGCGCAAGTCCATCTATGTGCGCACTTTTACCCACACTTGAAGCCTTGAAATTTTCATCCTCCAGCTTGCACAATGCACTTCGAACAGATGTATGACACATGGGCTACTGGGCGCGGTTAGTCTTTCATTTTGCCCGCGATCTGTGCGTATGAAAGAATTACATGGTTTGTTGACAGTCATATTGCTGGGATCGTCTTGTAGTACGTCGGACGGTGGAACTTCATAGGGAATATATCCGGAGTCGGACGGCGACAACATGTTATGGCCGGACGAAGAGGGCAATCCAGTCGTGGCTGGCAAGAACAAGGTGTCGTGCGGTAAGTCCACTGCTGGCCTGAGCATAGCGTTGTTGTTCGGAACAGAGTTCATCATGGAAAGAGACAGTGACAAAACTGAATCGGAGAGCTCTACCTTTTCAACATTTTGGCCACCTCTTTTATAGGATACCACTTCTTCTCCGAATGGCCATGCAATCATGGAAGCCAAGGCTCTATTTGGACCCATCAGAATTGCCAGCTACGAAAAGCGATGTCAAGCGCCAATATCAATATCGAAGTATGATGGGACGAGCGATCTCACTCGCGAGGTCAGTCATACGGAGTCTAGGGATCCGCCCATAAGGCCATACAGCACCTACTTTTGGGGTGTACGGGGACAGTACAACCCGTGTACTACGGACAGTGAACAAGAGACATGAGAAGGAGATGTCCCGGGTAAGTGTCACACTTAACACATACAATCCCTCCACCTCCCAGGCTCAATCCCGTCGAGTTAGCGGGGTGCCGTACCGTACCCGTATTGTACGGGTACACCGCAAGGAGTCTTATTTACGGGAGCCGTACAAGCCGTCACTGTAAACCGTTACTGTGCGCCGGGTAGTAAGTAGGAACAAAGTAGGAACGATCATCTTCAGACTCCTCATAGATAGATAGATATATTTTGGAAGTTGAGACTAGCGCCGGGTGCGGATCCCTAACGGACTCGCAGGTACACCCCATCAAACCCCACTCAGAGTCCGAGGTGTCAATTTCTCCCATCCATCCATCGCAGAAGAAACCGGCGTTTCAAGGACAAGCTTACCATCCAGAGTCCCACCAGAAAGTCATGTAAATATGCTGGAATATGCATATTACCCAAGATTCCCACAGTATCAGCTTTCCTCACCTAGTATGTTACTTCTTCTATCTATACCACTGAACCGTTATACCAGTTTGATGCACCATTCTGAAATACACGCGTATGCGAACACTCTTTGCCCAAATGTCACCCTCCGATCATTATGCGAAGAGATCGATGTGCGGGATTCTATATGATTGTTCAGAAAAAGAAGAAATATCCCTGTCCTTGTCCCTTGCTGATAGTATGACCCTTAGCTTCCACTTGGTGATTGGCATTCATGTAACATGATGCCCGCTTAAAACCTATTGTTCATAGTACGTGTAACCCAGAAGACTAGCGGCCGCGTTGCACACAAAAATTGGGAACACGGCTTTTTTTTGCAAGGCGACCAGCTAAGGATACGATTCTGGGAGCATCAAGGCTTGCAATGGTTCGCATATCCTGTGACTGAAAGTCACTCTGACATATTGTGCTCTTAGGCTGATGAGCGCTTGCGCCACAATTAGTGCCCATGCAACAACGTAAAGAGACTGTTATACCTCCGAGTGCACGGTCGAGCAAATGACATATGTGGCGCCTGGTTGTAGGGAGATCTTACTGTATGATATTAGCATGCTCTCCCGGCCATAGTAGTGTCCGTCAATGAGGGAGATTGATTTTCTATGCTCTAATGGAAGCACGGCAAGGTGAACACTGATGAAGGAGCACGTCTTCAGATAAGGGATACTTGCAGATTTTGATGCAAGCAGGAAGGAGTAAGGCATGCTAAACAAAAGGGACTTACAGTAACGAGGCAGTGTGAGGAACGAGAAGATTCAAAGGAAAACCTTTTGCTCCGCGCCATGATTGTATCATTGGTCCTTCCCCTCTCCTCGCCATTCCCTCTCCTACCCATCACAAGTGAGCGAGAAAACCTAAATAAGGGTGTGCCCTCGTCGAGGTTTACTTGTGGTTGCCGACATGTCGGGGTATAACGACGATAACAACAACAACCGAGTCCTGGGATGGCAAGGCACCAGTGCCGAGTCGCTCGTGAAGAGCTCAGATTGATGGATACCGGACGAGTAGAAGATACGAGCTTTGCGGTGAAAACCAATTACGAATGTATAATCAGACTCAAACAATGTATGATCAAATATGAGGACCAACATAAGAGCCGCACCACAGAATTCACCTCTAGAAAGAGTGTGAAGGTAGAATCTAGCAGGTGTTACCCAGGTGAAGTCAGATCGGACAGATTTGGAAAGCCAAGTGGTGTTGTGGACCAAGCAGACTCGGCGGAGGACTGGACGGGACGGTCCCAAGTGAAGATGAGCGGGAAGTAACTCAGCTCTGCTATTCAAACAATCTGCGGAGAAGTGATGAAGAGTTCTTGACATGATGCTTGCTTGGAACGTCTACCAACGCTGTGTTCAGATACCGAGGGCACTGACCGATGTTTGTGATACCGTCTGGATTATAGCCGTCGAAGCTGGAAGAAAACCTCTCATTTCTTGCCGCGTACCTGATGGTCTTTGATCATTTTCATATTTAACTTTCGGTCGGGTCAATGCGATTCGTTGGCTCTCGATGGGAGAAGTAAGCTTCTTGTTGGAGGTTGGTTGACAGAGGTGAGGGGCAAGAGAAGCTTGCATATTGTCGCGATCAGCGAATACGCAAAAAGCGATTTATTGACAGATGAAGAACAGATCATTTGTACTCGGGCGTCCCGGGCCTGTGTTTCGAATCGAGGGTGTATGAAATCGTTTCCGACAAACCTCGTTCGTGTCCAGAGGACGTAGATTGCAACTAAGGGACCAAGCGAGGCAGCAATCTTCCAATACACGCGCCTTTTGAGAGGTGAGATCGTTAAGACGCCCATCAATCAAGGCGTCGTCAAGTTTTTCCCTTCAGAGTATAAAGAATATCAGTGCTTGGCGTCGAAGCGGGAGGTAGCAAAGTCCAATTGAAATAAATCAAAGGGTAGGGAATGTTATGAATCACCATATTTTCACACTTTCACATCTTATCATATCTTATCGGGGGCCTTGTCTTATCAACCAACGGACTGTTTCATCATCTGTTCCGTCACCGATCATACCCCTTTTCATTACCGAAGCCGTACTCATGTCGGACACACGTCCAACACATGGATGACATCATACATGCTGATACCTCATGGACTCCCTATTGTATACACACCGCCGACACTCGTAGTACACATAGTCGTTTCAGTATTATTACTTACATGCAGTTACCACTCGTATTTAATGGTTTCACGGACTAGTAGCATACAACACTGGGTCAAGGGCGTGGAGCATCCCTAGTGGAAACGCGTATGGACAAGGAGTCTCAAACACAGACTTACTAGTATATAAGCAGTAGTGTAGTATCATTGTACTTTAGTTCCGATCTCGTTTATACACCTGGCCTAGCCTAGTCTTACGAACGCGAACGCTTTCTTCCTTAGTTTCTTGCTGTGGTACCTGGTTGAGTCTCGTGGCTTAGTCAGTCGCTAACAGGGAAAGAGAATGAAAAAATATTGGAAGACAGTAAAATGGTGCGTCAGAGACAAAGCGCAGGCTGGAGAAAGCGGGGACGATGTACGTACCATCGCAGGAGGGTTGGTCAATATGAATTGTGACATTGACGGTCACACCCTTCCCGACCCAATGTTGAACGGTATGCAGGTGTGAAGAGCGTCTATCTGACTGGCTCGGGATTCCAGGCTTTAGTAAGATCACATTATAGACCTAGCTTTCCGGCAAATGTCCGTGCATTTCAATGTGTTATCATCTTCTGATCAACATGTTGATCAATAGCCGGTGAGCTTTATTATGTATTGTGTACACTATAGCTGGGCGGCGCTTGTTGATACTTATACAAACGTGGCACTACTTCCGTTCTATGGTTCATCGCCCTCTCCCGTCTTCTTGTAATGTTATTCGTGCGCGATGGAGGACAGACGCACGACGCATCAATCTTACCGGTGCGCCTGAAGTTCTATACGTTGATCTGTACCGCGGGCACTGGAATCAGAAATTGACTGTGCTCAAGAGGTTACAGAGGCTGGATGGTGATGACTGGTGCCATTTAGCAAATCCACACACGTTAGCCAGAAGAGCGCACATATTGGAATCATATTACAGTATTTGTATACAGTCTTCGGAGTCACAGGCGCCATGGTTGGAGAAGAAACAGATGACGAGTAAGCTCACAGCTCAGTGGTAGAAGGAGCACCTAGCAGGTGCCCCAGCCCAGGGACCTGGGAAAGGTGGCGCAATTTTATGATCATGATTTCCAAAAACAGTTCGATGGCCCGATTTCCCTCTAGCCGACTTGAACGACTGACCTCATCATACAGTTTTCGTGTACTAGTGATGCGCTCTACCGCTGAGCTAAGAGGGATTGCATATTTTTCGGTCCATAGCTATTCATAATGTGAATGAAAAATGGATTCTTACCCTTGAAGTGTACCTGACTCTTCCTTGTTCCCAACCACAATATGATTCACGTATCAGCTGCCTGGATCAGCTGAGAACCGAGGACCCATTCTCCCTTCCAAGTACCGGCTCAGGTGCACGTCCGCTCTTCGCCCCGCCCTTCAAGCGCGTCTCAGGAACGTTGACGCCTATATCACCCGCTCGCTCTTTACTGTTGAACGACTCTCACGATGGTCTTTGGCTTTGGTAGAAAGTGGAATCCGGAGGGGCTGGTGCGTTACACATCGCTTACTTATAAGTCTTGCTAACCAGCAGTAGCATGTCTACATCACGGGCGGCAGTCAAGGCCTCGGGTTGTCATAATGGTGCAAAAGGGCGCCCACGTATCCATTGTCGCGCGGAATCAAGAGCGCCTGAATAAAGCTGTCGAGTTGCTCAACGTACGTGGCCATCTTTAGTCCATTACGCGCAGTGTTGACCGCCCTCCAGACCCATAAGAACTCCCCCGACCAAAAGATTCACGCGTATTCCTACTCTTTGTATACGGCAAAAGAGTCGACAGACGCGCTCGATGCGGCGTGCGCTCCGTTCGACGGCAAGGCGCCCGATGCAATCATTGCTTGTGCCATGACGGAGGAAGACCTTGACCATGGTATGAAAGAGTCGTATTGGGTTCAGGCGTGGACAGCGTGGGCCGCAGCAAAGATGATGGTCCGCCAAAAGCGATACCACGAGAAATCCAAGATCGTCCTCGTCTCATCCATGGTAGGATTAATGACGTTTGTCGGATGGTCCAATTACTCTCCGGGCAAGTTTGCTCTTCGAGGTGCGTACGCGTCGTGTACCTCCTATACCTCGCTAACTTCATATAGCTCTGGGCGACAATCTGAACTGATGCTGTACACGCCCAATATCTCTGTGCACACGTATTTCCCTCCAACCATGTTCACGGCCTCTTATGAGGAGGAAAACATGAGCAAGCCGGCTATCACGAAGGAGATTGAAGGCGCAGATGATGGTCAGACGGCGGACCAAGCAGCGCAGGCTCTGTGGCGCGGCTTGGAGAGGGGCGACGCGCACATTTCTGGTGACTTGTTGACCAATATCTTTAGGGCGGGTACGCGTGGGGCAGCACCTAAAAATAACTGGATTGTCGACGCGTTTTTAGATTGGGTGTCATTCGTGAGTTTGTTCCATTTTGGCGTACGTGAGTTTGAAACTAGCGATGTTTAGATGTTCGTACCCGTATGGCGAGCGTCTGTTGACCGCAAAGTGAAAGCACATGCGAAGGAGCATGAGAAGTATCTCCAAGGTAAAGGGTTCTTCGAGATGCCTCTTTGATATTCGGTATTTATTGAGTGAGTGTTTGTCAACTGGCTTGAGAAGTGCGCTTGTCTCACATGGAACCTAGCGTAATATATCTATGAATGCTAATGAGGACTTGGTTCGCTTCATCGCCTGACATGTGATCAGCTGTGGCATATGTCGCCGATACCACCATATGCACCGTGACTCAAAATCTATGGCCATTTTCACGATGCTGGCCTGAGGGACGACCGTTCGCACCTGTCTGATGTCGGTGGTAAGCCACCACATCCTCCTCTGACGGGGAGTAACGTTTAGATGTCCGTGCCTGACCGGATAGTGAAAGCGTGCGCGAAGGAGCACGAGTATAAAGGGTTCTTTGAGATGTCCATGGAATTTCGCGTATCTTCTGGCGTGAGTGTTGATACCTCGCGTCCTTGGGGGAGATAGACCGATTGTGTACGGTCTACGCAACCGGCGGCAGCCAAGGCCAATTTGGGTTTCGCTTGCTATGATAATGTAAGTGATTATCTAGGTATGATTCCAGCTGCGCTTTGATTCTTGACCGCTTTCCAGACGCACGAGAAATTACCGGCCGAAAGTTCAGAGATACTTCTGTTCTCTCTACAAGGCAAAGGAGTCGTCGCATGTGCTTAATGCAGCATTTTTACTATTTGGTGGGAAGGCATGCTTTGTGGGGCGCCCCAAGTCTTGGGATGAATAAGGAGATCGTATTGGTTTCAAGCCTGGATAGCTGAGGGTGCTGGTGGGCGATTTCATGAGAAATCATCGCCGACTTTCAACTTTCGTCGGAACTCTCCTAAAAGCTTGCGTTCGTTGAAATCGTTCTATTTCCCTTGACAGTTTCGTTGACATGCTCTCCCAGTATTCCACAACGATCTCCTGTCTAAACCACACCTCACATCTACGTGCATTCTCGGCATGGAGTATTCAACGTACATTCGACGTTGTTCCGAAACGTTGGTACGCCAGCTCTAAACCCATGTTCGCCGCTCCATCACCTGACATTCCATTAGACGCATCAAATGTCGCCAATACCATCACTGGCGCCTGTGTACGAAACGTTGCCCATGGCCAACATTCGGCCTCAAATTCAGACGCGGATTCAAGTTGACATTTGTGAGCGCCGTATAAATCTGCGCCTGTTGGTTGATGAGCACCTAAACTGGCAAGCTTAAAGTGAGTTTGACCCACTGGTGTCGGGCGTCTCTCCTCTTGTCTATAGCCTTCACCTACGAAATACTTGTCTAATCTTTCGATTGTTACCTGCAGGAGAGTAGCAGCTACGTCCATGCCCATTTTGCGCTGGTAAATCCACCCATGATACCACGACCGGCGTTCCGGTGCAGCAAGCTGGTGAAGTGTGTAACGGTCGCAGATTTTGCGTAGGGTGTTCCGACAGTAAGTCCAACTCTCATGGTTCGAGCTCATCTGCATGACGCGCTGAAGGACGTCTAGGTTACCTGCGGAGCCTTTTGAGGTGGAAAGGGAAACGATCATGCAGATCGTGAGGAGATTATCCTTCTGGAGAATGTAAGGAAGACTCAGATCATCTGTGGCTGTGCTTGTGCTCCCTGACAGGTTACAGGTACTCAACCACCGTGTCATCCACGCCCAAGTCGTCCACTAGAGTACAGGGATAATTCTCGAACTATGTGGAACATGTCTTCTTGACGGAAAATTTGATACGCATGTTGGACGCGATTACGGAGGGAGCGGGTGAAGACGAGTGTAATAATGGTGAGCAGATCCCTGTCGGTTAAGCGTCCAAAGCGGTCCAGCCAGTCGCTCTGACTCTTCCAGGTTTGCGCGAGTATAGTGAGGAATGCCGTGTCACTCCAGACGTCTGCATTCTCACGAGTGAAAAGTGAATCAGAAGCGGGGGATGTAAACAAGCACAGGCATAGGGACAGAGAATTTGACCGGATCGTTGGGATCCTGTTTGTTGTCAGGTCTGTCTTCAGTGCAAAAAGACTTCCGATGACTCTGAAACATATAGCAGTTCCATCTTTTTGTCGTTCGAGATTCGAACGTCGTAGATCGTAGCGGAAGCTCTTGAGACAGCGGATCAAAATTTCGAGGGTTTCGACAAGTAAAATCCCCATGTCGTCCGCATTAGAACCTGTTACGAGGTGTCTGCGTAACGATTCGGTATGCATAGCTATGGACGCAGGAGGCGTGAATACGCTGTCAACTTCGGAATCGGCGTTTGAGAGGAAATAGTTGATTACTGCGAGGTGGAGTGGAATATCGATCTCTCGGGGCTCCGACAATCTTGGAGACTTGGAAATTTGCAAGCATGACCCCCAGCACAATTCGCATGAAGTCACGAATGTCCGTACTCCGTTCGACAGCCTCCGCGATGGTACAAGCGATGGGGTCATTATAGGGATGCCGTTCGTATGCAAAAGCTTGGAGTAATTTAGTGAACCAAATTGGGTCGAATTGCTCAGAGAAATGGTCTAGCGGGGTATAGTCCAGGTTTCGCTTCTCTCTGGTGCTCTGTACTTTGAGCATGAGCACGTGCCAGACTGATAAGTGGAGTTTGGTGTGCTTGTGAAGAAAGAAGCTACGGGCTGTGCGTATTTCGGCCTCTTTGTCTGCAACGCGACCCGAGCTTGGGAGGTCGAATTTTGTGAAATATCGGCCGTATTCAACGGCCAAACAAGTTCATTGCCATATGGTGGGTAGTACGTGAGGTGCCTCGCCAGGATGGAGCGCATGATTCGCTGGAACTTCTCCCCAGATGCCGCATCCGACTTTACAAGCGTAATTTTTTGTCTTGGTCGTGGCATCCTCTACGACGTCGGCGATCAACAGCTTCTCATCATAAATCCATGTCACGCAACTCGCCATTGTAGAGTAGCTCCCGAAATTGCACGCATTGGGAAAGTGAGAGACCACCCAGTGCTTGGATTACAATGCTTCGTACCGTTAAGTTGGACGAAGTATCGTATAACCAGCGGATCGCGTCAACAGGCACACCTCTGTCCGGAGAGTTCACGATGCGCAATTCCTGCTCTTTCAGGGGCTCGCTAGAAGTGGTACGATGTACAAGCCGGTACATCGTACTCGAGATCAGAGTAGAGATGGGTCACTGTGGGTAGACTATCGGAAGAGCTTGACTGACGATATACGCCGTATAAGCTCCGGCGGAATATGGCAATGATGAAGATGGCGATACGTTGGTTTAGTGGCAGGAGATATACAAGCAGTCCAGAGGAGAATATCGCAACGGCGCTGTGCATCAGGACAGGTATCAAGCCAACGATTATAGGTACATGCCACTTTGTAGCCCTGAGAAGCGGTACTGGCGGATGAGACTGCGGTCGCGAGGCGTGCCGGACGGTATGGACACGTATTGATGGAACCATTGTTTGACCAACACGGAAAGTAACGCGGTTGTTAGACTCAGTGAAAGGCTCACGAACCAGAGCCCGTTCACCCATACAATGGACGAAGACTGGGGCTCGGTAGAAGCAGGGGTGAGTGCTGAGAACGGAACGTCGTTGACGGAAGTCCCGTTGAGCGATGCGCGCTGGATGTTGACAAGCTCGTATACCAGCGATGTCAAAATGGTAAGTATCCGCCGGCATCTGTAAAGCTTGCGAGGTCTGCGCTACAAAAGTCGTGTGAAAA